CTGTCTGTATGTGAGGTTAACAGTAATAAACATACTGTCTGTCTGTCTGTATGTGAGGTTAACAGTAATAAACATACTGTCTGTCTGTATGTGAGGTTAACAGTAATAAGCAGACTGTCTGTCTGTATGTGAGGTTAACAGTAATAAACAGACTGTCTGTATGTGAGGTTAACAGTAATAAGCAGACTGTCTGTCTGTATGTGAGGTTAACAGTAATAAGCAGACTGTCTGTCTGTATGTGATTTAAACATAAAAAATACTGCCCTTCTTTTGTATGTGAGGTTACAGAAATAAAATACTTAGTCTGATTTAGGTTAACGTAATAACGATGTCTTTCTTTATGTGGGGTTTAAACATTAAAAACAACTGTCTGTATGTGAGTTAACGTAATAAGAAACGTCTGTCTTTGTGAGGTTAACAGTAAAAAAACCATACTGTCTTCGTATGTGGGTTAACAGTAATAAGCAACGTCTGTTGTATTGAGGTTAACAAAAATAAAAACTGTCTGTCGTCTGTGGGAAAACAGGGACCCACTTGAGCCCCCCCACCCAGTAAATCACCATGCACTTTTTTTTAACGTTTCGGGCCCAAAAGCTCCAGACTGCTCCACTCCCTGATTACAACAAAAGGGAAAGGTGGGGGTTTTAAAAATTTTTAAAAAAAAAATTGGGGAAAAAACCCTTTCCTTTCCCCCCGGGGAGGTTTTGCAAGGGTTTCCCCCCCAAAAAATTTTTTTGGGGGGGGGTAAACAATTTGGGGGGTTTTCAAAACCCCCCGGGACACAAAACACCCCAAGAAAAACCCCCACAAAGAGAAAACAAAGAAGAGAGAGGAAAAAAAGGGGAAAAAAAAGGGGGGGGGAAAAAAAAAAGGGGGGGCCCCAAAAAGGGAAAAAAAAGGGGGGGAAAAAAAAAGGAAAAGAAAAAAAACGGGGGCCCGGGGGCAAGGAGAGAGGAGAGAAAGGGAAAAAAAGCGGAAGGGGGTTTTGGGGAAAAGGGGAAAAAAAGAAAGGGGAAAAAACCCCCCGAAGACACAAAACCCCCCAGAAGGGGAAAATTGATCGGGGGAAAACGGGGGGGGGAAAGGGGAAAAAAAGAAAAGTTTTTAAAATATAAAGTTCCCAAAATTAAAGGCCCAAAAAAGCCTTTTAAAAAGGGGAAGGTAGAGAAACCATGAGCGAGAGGGCAGGACCAAAAGCCAAGACTGACCCGATACACAAATCACGGGAAACGGATGGGAAAGAGAGAAAAACAAGTCAGGGGAAAAGGGGAGAGTCGGCGGCCGATAAGGGGGTAATGACTATGTTTAAAAGGGAGGGTTTGGGAAAAAAGAGGGTTTACGACACCACCGACAAGACGGAGACAACACATAGTAGGACACCCACGAGAGAGAGAGATGGAGAGAGAGAGAAAGAGATACAGACAAGAGAGATGAGAGAGAGATAGAGAGAGAGAGAGAGAGAGAGGAGAGAGAGGAGAGAGAGAACAAGAGGAGACAGAGAGAGAGACCGAAAGAGAGACAGCGAGAGAGACAGAGGAGAGAGAGAGAGACGAGAGAGAGACATAAGCGGAGAGAAGATAGAGAGAGAAGGAGAGAGAGAGAGAGAGAAGAGATACAACACCAGAACCGCACACACAATACCTCCCAGTCACCAGCTCCGAAAATTAGCCATCTGATGTTTTTCTCTAGCGGTACAGAGTACAGAAACCATAAGCAAAGTTGTGTACATTACCACTCTCCTAAATGTTCCTGATATGTAACACAGGGTTTCCCAGTAAAGAGCTGTCAATGACAGATATTAGATCCAGGGCTTGACCAAGCCTTAAGGTCATCAGTCTTGTTTATGAGGTATACACAGGGATAAACTAAATATAGAAACAGCTCAGGTGTGTTTAACACGGACTGATTTAGAACCTATTCCACAATCTGGGAATTACAATGGATGCACCAATTCCAGATTGCCTCTTTAAAGAGGGAGGTTAAAAACCGTCAGCAACGAAGGGCCATCACAGTGAGCCCTTCGTCTCAGAGAAGGAGTGCTGATCTAGGATCAGATCACACCTGTCTATTTTATCATATTCATTATCATTTGAAGGACAAAATAGATCCTATATCATATTGGCTCTGTCATATCCTCACATGGCCTCTCCTATCATTGCTACGCTGACGATACACAACTAATCTTCTCCTTTCCCCCTTCTGATAACCAGGTGGCGAATCGCATCTCTGCATGTCTGGCAGACATATCAGTATGGATGACGGATCACCACCTCAAGCTGAAACTTGGCAAGACGGAGCTGCTCTTCCTCCCAGGGAAGGACTGCCCGTTCCATGATCTCGCCATCACGGTTGACAACTCCGTTGTGTCCTCCTCCCAGAGTGCGAAGAGCCTTGGCGTGACCCTGGACAACACCCTGTCGTTCTCCGCTAACATCAAGGCGGTGACCCGATCCTGCAGGTTCATGCTCTACAACATTCGGAGAGTACGACCCTGCCTTACACAGGAAGCGGCACAGGTCCTAATACAGGCACTTGTCATCTCCCGTCTGGATTACTGCAACTCGCTGTTGGCTGGGCTCCCTGCCTGTGCCATTAAACCCCTACAACTCATCCAGAAGGCCGCAGCCCGTCTGGTGTTCAACCTTCCCAAGTTCTCTCACGTCACCCCGCTCCTCCGCACACTCCACTGGCTTCCAGTTGAAGCTCGCATCTGTTACAAGACCATGGTGCTTGCCTATGGAGCTGTGAGGGGATCGGCACCTCTGTACCTTCAGGCTCTGATCAGTCCCTACACCCAAACGAGGGCATTGCGTTCATCCACCTCTGGCCTGCTGGCTCCCCTTCCTCTGCGGAAGCATAGTTCCCGCTCAGCCCAGTCAAAACTGTTCGCTGCTCTGGCACCACAATGGTGGAACAAGCTCCCTCACGACGCCAGGACAGCGGAGTCACTCACCACCTTCCGGAGATATTTGAAACCCCACCTCTTTAAGGAATTCCTGGGATAGGATAAAGTAATCCTTCTACCCCCCCCCCCCCCCCCCCCCCCCCCCCAAAAAAAAAAAAAAAAAGATATTGTAAAGTGGTTATCCCACTGGCTATAGGGTGAATGCACCTATTTGTAAGTCGCTCTGGATAAGAGCGTCTGCTAAATGACGTAAATGTAAATGTAATATCAGCACTCCTACTCTGAGACTCTTTGTGAATACAGGCCCTAGTGAGCTAGTGATGCCTACTCTACTAACTACTGATGATCAGGTCCTGCTTGGCCAGAAGCCCTACTGTCTGATCCTGTCAGAATGGCAGACAGTAGACTCTATAGAATAGACAGTAGATTCTATAGACAGTAGACTCTATAGAATAGAAAGTAGACTCTATAGAATAGACAGTAGACTCTATAGACAGTAGACTCCATAGAATAGACACTAGACTCTATAGAATAGATACTAGATTCTATAGAATACACAGTAGACTCTATAGAATAGACAGTAGATTCTAAAGACAGTAGACTCTATAGAATAGACACTAGACTATAGAATAGACAGTAGACTCTATAGAATAGACAGTAGACTCTCTATAGAATAGACAGTAGACTCTATAGAATAGACAGTAGATTCTATAGACAGTTGACTCTATAGAATAGACACTAGACTCTATAGAATAGATAGTAGACTCTATAGAATAGACAGTAGACTCTATAGAATAGATAGTAGACTCTATAGAATAGACAGTAGACTCTATAGAATAGACAGTAGACTCTATAGAATAGATAGTAGACTCTATAGAATAGACAGTAGACTCTATAGAATAGATAGTAGACTCTATAGAATAGACAGTAGACTCTATAGACAGTAAACTCTATAGAATATACACTAGACTCTATAGAATAGACACTAGACTATATAGAATAGACACTAGACTCTATATAGAATAGACACTAGACTCTCTATAGAATAGACACTAGACTCTGTATAGAATAGACACTAGACTCTCTATAGAATAGACACTAGACTCTCTATAGAATAGACACTTGACTCTCTATATAATAGACACTAGACTCTCTATAGAATAGACACTAGACTCTCTATAGAATAGACAGTAGACTCTATAGAATAGACAGTAGACTCTATAGAATATACAGTAGACTCTATTGAATAGACAGTAGACTCTTTATAGAATAGACAGTAGACTCTATAGAATAGACAGTAGACTCTCTATAGAATAGACAGTAGACTCTATAGAATAGACAGTAGACTCTTTATAGAATAGACAGTAGACTCTATAGAATAGACAGTAGACTCTTTATAGAATAGACAGTAGACTCTATAGAATAGACAGTAGACTCTTTATAGAATAGACAGTAGACTCTATAGAATAGACAGTAGACTCTATAGAATAGACAGTAGATTCTATAGACAGTTGACTCTATAGAATAGACACTAGACTCTATAGAATAGATAGTAGACTCTATAGAATAGACAGTAGACTCTATAGAATAGATAGTAGACTCTATAGAATAGACAGTAGACTCTATAGAATAGATAGTAGACTCTATAGAATAGACAGTAGACTCTATAGACAGTAAACTCTATAGAATATACACTAGACTCTATAGAATAGACACTAGACTATATAGAATAGACACTAGACTCTCTATAGAATAGACACTAGACTCTCTATAGAATAGACACTAGACTCTGTATAGAATAGACACTAGACTCTCTATAGAATAGACACTAGACTCTCTATAGAATAGACACTTGACTCTCTATATAATAGACACTAGACTCTCTATAGAATAGACACTAGACTCTCTATAGAATAGACAGTAGACTCTATAGAATAGACAGTAGACTCTATAGAATAGACAGTAGACTCTATAGAATATACAGTAGACTCTATTGAATAGACAGTAGACTCTATAGAATAGACACTAGACTCTCTATAGAATAGACACTTGACTCTCTATATAATAGACACTAGACTCTCTATAGAATAGACACTAGACTCTCTATAGAATAGACAGTAGACTCTATAGAATAGACAGTAGACTCTATTGAATAGACAGTAGACTCTATAGAATAGACAGTAGACTCTATAGAATAGACAGTAGACTCTATAGAATAGACAGTAGACTCTATAGAATAGACAGTAGACTCTATAGAATAGACAGTAGACTCTATAGAATAGACACTATACTCTCTATAGAATAGACAGTAGACTCTATAGAATAGACAGTAGACTCTCTATAGAATAGACAGTAAACTCTCTATAGAATACACACTAGACTCTCTATAGAATACACACTAGACTATAGAATAGACAGTAGACTCTATAGAATATACTCTAGACTCTCTATAGAATAGACAGTAGACTATATAGATAGTAGACTCTATAGAATAGACAGTACACTCTATAGAATAGACAGTAGACTCTCTATAGAATATACACTAGACTCTCTATAGAATACACACTAGACTATAGAATAGACAGTAGACTCTATAGAATAGACAGTAGACTATATACCATAGACACTAGACTATATACCATAGACACTAGACTATATACCATAGACACTAGACTATATACCATAGACACTAGACTATATACAATAGACACTAGACTATATACCATAGACACTAGACTATATACCATAGACACTAGACTATATAGAATAGACACTAGACTCTCTATAGAATAGACACCAGACTCTATAGAATAGACAGTAGACTCTATAGAATAGACAGTAGACTCTCTATAGAATAGACACTACACTCTATAGAATAGACACTACACTCTATAGAATAGACACTAGACTCTCTATAGAATAGACACTAGACTCTCTATAGAATAGACACTATACTCTCTATATAATAGACCGTAGACTATATATTTAGTAGACTCTATAGAATAGACAGTAGACTCTATAGAATAGACAGAAGACTCTCTATAGAATAGACACTAGACTCTCTATAGAATAGACACTAGACTCTCTATAGAATAGACACTAGACTATCTATAGAATAGACACTAGACTATCTATAGAATAGACACTAGACTATCTATAGAATAGACACTAGACTATCTATAGAATAGACACTAGACTATCTATAGAATAGACACTAGACTATCTATAGAATAGACACTAGACTATCTATAGAATAGACACTAGACTATCTATAGAATAGACACTAGACTATCTATAGAATAGACACTAGACTCTCTATAGAATAGACAGTAAACTCTCTATAGAATACACACTAGACTCTCTATAGAATACACACTAGACTATAGAATAGACAGTAGACTCTATAGAATATACTCTAGACTCTCTATAGAATAGACACTATACTCTCTATATAATAGACCGTAGACTATATAGATAGTAGACTCTATAGAATAGACAGTACACTCTATAGAATAGACAGTAGACTCTCTATAGAATATACACTAGACTCTCTATAGAATACACACTAGACTATAGAATAGACAGTAGACTCTATAGAATAGACACTAGATTCTATAGAATAGACAGTAGACTCTATAGAATAGACAGTAGACTCTATTGAATAGACAGTAGACTCTATAGAATAGATAGTAGACTCTATAGAATAGACAGTAGACTCTATAGAATAGACAGTAGACTCTATAGAATAGACAGTAGACTCTATTGAATAGACAGTAGACTCTATAGAATAGACAGTAGACTCTATTGAATAGACAGTAGACTCTATAGAATAGACAGTAGACTCTTTATAGAATAGACAGTAGACTATCTATAGAATAGACACTAGACTCTATAGAATAGACACTAGATTCTATAGAATATACACTAGACTCTCTATTGAATAGACAGTAGACTCTTTATAGAATAGACAGTAAACTCTCTATAGAATATACACTAGACTCTCTATAGAATATACAGTAGACTCTCTATAGAATACACACTAGACTATAGAATAGACTCTATAGAATATACACTAGACTCTTTAGAATAGACACTAGACTCTATAGAATAGACACTAGACTCTATAGAATAGACACTAGATTCTATAGAATAGACACTAGATTCTATAGAATATACACTAGACTCTCTATTGAATAGACAGTAGACTCTCTATAGAATAGACAGTAGACTCTATAGAATAGTGGAGGTCCATGGTGCAGTAACTTAGAGGAAACAGGGACCTGTTTCTCCCATGGTGCAGTAACTTAGAGGAAACAGGGACCTGTTTCTCCCATGGTGCAGTAACTTAGAGGAAACAGGGACCTGCTTCTCCCATGGTGCAGTAACTTAGAGGAAACAGGGACCTGTTTCTCCCATGGTGCAGTAACTTAGAGGAAACAGGGACCTGCTTCTCCCATGGTGCAGTAACTTAGAGGAAACAGGGACCTGTTTCTCCCATGGTGCAGTAACTTAGAGGAAACAGGGACCTGCTTCTCCCATGGTGCAGTAACTTAGAGGAAACAGAACAGGACATACCTTGATGTTTCATGATATGCAAACTGTCTCTAGAAGAAAACAATATATTTTAGTCTGGACAATATCAATAAACCAACTATCACAATAGGATGCATCCATTCCATACGGACAATTGGAGCTGAGAAGAGAGGACAGAGAAGAGACTAGTCCTAATCCTACTTGGGCCAAGTCATGTTTTTCCCTCAAAACTAATAAGATTGGCATTAGCCCACATCTTTCCATGAAATCCCTGCTCTCCTTTTGCCTGCTCTTCCTCTGCTCTGTGGTTGTGTCCCAAATGGAAACCTATTCCCTATATAGTGCCCGGGCTCTGGTCAAAAGTAGTGCACTATGTAGGGTGCAATTTGGAATGCAACCTGTGTGTACAGTACAGAGGGTTCATCTGATCCTGGGGAGGGGGGAGGGGGGGGGGGGGTTAGTCAGTCAGTCACAGCAGACAGATTAACCGCACAGCTCTGGCCTTCTCTAAGTGGATGATGATGCTCCTACTACTCACTAAGTTGACAGCCACCTGTTGCCCCTCACTGCAGAGCAGAGCAGAGCTGAGCCCCTCACAGGAAAGTAGGATGATGTATCTCCTGTAGGTGAGGTGGTCACTGATCAACAGCTCGTCCAGTCACTAAGACCACATTTTCTGTGTACCCACATCCAAACCCCCACATTGCGAGCAAAACATTTTAGCGGCCCCCCTCTTGACAGTGCAGAGAAAGTGTTTACGTTTTAGATTTAATTTCGTGCATTTCTACACATTTTGCCATGGGGTGTAGAAAAATTTTGCAGTTTTAAAGCAAGTGTGTTGCAATTCTACTCATTTTGCCAAAAGGTGGAGAGAAATGTTTGCTGTTTTTAATATGATATCCGAGTGAGACTGACTAATAAAATCAATGGGGGCCCCCCGGCCGGCAATTAAACCATGATTACTACGCTTAGTAGCTGGCCGCTAGACTAACTTACCAATCTAAAAATTGTTAGCTGACATAACAAGAGGAAAACTGCTGATGCACAACCACATTTCGAAATTGCACCTTGTGTATTCTACTATTCTAACAGTAAGTTGAGAACCCGACTGAGTTCACGAATTTTGGTGAAATTGATCTGACGGTCTTCAAAAGGCCGCCAGTTGCCCATCCCTGCTCTACATGATTTATAGCTGTACACTCATTAAGCCACCTTTGATATGATGAAATATATGACACAGAAGTCCCCTGGAGCAAAGTCAGTAAACTAACAGTAAAATCCAACAGCTTGGAACCGTCTTTCGACACAACATGTTCTTTAACAACACAGTGATTAGTCTGAATGTTGCAACGCTTCAGGATATCATCAGGATGAGATACGATACTGTTTTTAATTACAAAATGAAAGTGCCAGGAAATAAGAGGAAGATCCACATTGTACTCAGCATGTACAAACAGGACCTAGGCAGGTTAGGTTCACCTGGCAGAGCTGTCTCATGTCTTGCCAATAGTTAAAATACAGTATTTTTAGGGCTAGAAAAAAAACTCCCAGTAAAAATACATAAAATCCAGTGGAGTTTCCTAATGTTTCCATGACACATTTCATGCAAGCAGCAGGTATAATGGATTAGCAGAGAAAACGACTGCCAGAGATAGTTTCTGAAAATCATAGCCTGGATTTCACACGGCATTTCAAAGTTAAATTCAACGCCTCCGTCCTTGCCTTGGTACATTTACATAACACTTTTGAAAAAGGCCAAATTAAAATCCGACAGCTCGTGGCTTAATGGCTTTTCCAGGCTAACCCTGCTGAGTTATTTTAGCCCTGGCAGCCTGGAGAGGAGAGGAGAGAGGAGGAGGAGAGGAGGAGGAGAGGAGGCCCTGTGTGTCTGCAGGAGAGAGCCACGTGCACTCCTCTCAATGGTCTCTGCCACTGGTTGCATCCCAAATGGAACCCTATTCACTATACAAGCTACATCTGGGCCCTGGTCAAAAGTAGTGCACTATATAGAGAAGTTGGTGACATTTGAGACGCATCCAGTGTCAACGTGCAGCAGCCTGCAGCACTACCATGCTGCCAACCTGCACAGGACAGAACATCTTGGTATATGGGCACGCAAGGATCCCCAGAGCACAGACAAGCTCTGACTCATCATTAAGTGAAACAGGCTGGGCGTGTTTGTATTATAATACTTATTAAAAACAATTATGCACTTAAACGTATTACACACAACCTATGAATGTACTGTGACACTTTGCTACTGCTGTTGAATGTGATGTGGAGGGCAGGTTTGAGTCAGGTTTAGACTGGGACATAACTGGGCTTGTCTCTCACTAATTATCATTCAGACCAGTATTATAGAGCAGTTATCTCTCTCTCTCTCTCACACACACACACCCCTCTCCAAGGCCGAACTGTCAGGTAATAGAGTCATGTGCTGGTGTGTCTCAGCACTTGGCTGCCACCTGAGAGACAGGACAGGACATCAAGATAAATGAGGAGGAGGAACGCGTTCCCAACTAAACACAGTATTAACATCCACATGGAAACAGTGAGCTCAACACAGAAATAAATCAATAAAGTAGAAAGACCGTGACCCAAACAATAGTTTTGACTGATTTACTAAGTGATTGTGTGTGTGTGTGTGTGTGTGTGTGTGTGTGTGTGTGTGTAGGCCTATAATCACTCTCTTTATTTCCTCTCATTATGAGGCCTGTTTTATTGACGTAGGAATCAAGTGTGGAGCGTGTTAAAACAAGGCCATAAAACATGATGGAGGGAAACAGCTCCAAAATAACAACCTCTACACATTCCTCACTCTCCCAGATGGTTTCATCTTTTCAGATGCACCAACCGATGCAGTGGGAGACAGTGGAGAAGTGGCAGATGACATAATGATGATATAGAGTAGTTCACATTGACTGCACAGAGATTTTGGCTCCTTGAAAAGCATTATATACAGTGCATTCGGAAAGTATTCAGATCCCTTGACTTTTTCCACATTTTGTTACGTTACAGCCTTATTCTAAAATGTATTAAATACACATTTTTCCTCATCTATCTAAACACAACAACATAATGACAAAGCGAAAACAGGTTTTTAGAAATGTGTGCAAATTTAACAAATAAAAAACAGAAATACCTTATTTACATACAGTGAGAGAAAAAAGTATTTGATCCCCTGCTGATTTTGTATGTTTGCCCACTGACAAAGAAATGATTAGTCTATAATTTTAATGGTAGGTTTATTTGAACAGTGAGAGACAGAATAACAACAAAAACATCCAGAAAAACGCATGTCAAAAATGTTATAAATTGATTTGCATTTTAATGAGGGAAATAAGTATTTGACCCCCTCTCAATCAGAAAGATTTCTGGCTCCCAGGTGTCTTTTATACAGGTAACGAGCTGAGATTAGGAGCACACTCTTAAAGGGAGTGCTCCTAATCTCAGTTTGTTACCTGTATAAAAGACACCTGTCCACAGAAGCAATCAATCAATCAGATTCCAAACTCTCCACTATGGCCAAGACCAAAGAGCTCTCCAAGGATGTCAGGGACAAGATTGTAGACCTACACAAGGCTGGAATGGGCTACAAGACCATCGCCAAGCAGCTTTGTGAGAAGGTGACAACAGTTGGTGCGATTATTCGCAAATGGAAGGAACACAAAAGCACTGTCAATCTCCCTGCCTGGGGCTCCATGCAAGATCTCACCTTGTGGAGTTGCAATGATCATGAGAACGGTGAAGGAATCAGCCCAGGCATGGGAGGATCTTGTCAATGATCTCAAGGCAGCTGGGACCATAGTCACCAAGAAAACAATTGGTAACACACTACGCCGTGAAGGACTGAAATCCTGCAGCGCCCGCAAGGTCCCCCTGCTCAAGAAAGCACATATACAGGGCCGTCTGAAGTTTGCCAATGAACATCTGAATGATTCAGAGGAGAACTGGGTGAAAGTGTTGTGGTCAGATGAGACCAAAATCGAGCTCTTTGGCATCAACTCAACTTGCCGTGTTTGGAGGAGGAGGAATGCTGCCTATGACCCCAAGAACACCATCCCCACTGTCAAACATGGAGGTGGAAACATTATGCTTTAGGGGTGTTTTTCTGCTAAGGGGACAGGACAACTTCACCGCATCAAAGGGACGATGGACGGGGCCATGTACCGTCAAATCTTGGGTGAGAACCTCCTTCCCTCAGCCAGGGCATTGAAAATGGGTCGTGGATGGTTATTCCAGCTTGACATTGACCCAAAACACATGGCCAAGGCAACAAAGGAGTGGCTCAAGAAGAAGCCCATTAAGGTCCTGGAGTGGCCTAGCCAGTCTCCA